ATAAAAACACTGACTTGAACATCGGCTGGCCCCCGCAAGTCATTGTATAGGCCACATCGCATTCAAACGCCACTACGAATGTACAAATGGAAGTAGAATGCGTGCCGCATCCCAACGGGATTGATCAACGGCAAATGCTTTATCCTTTACCTTTTATACGAGGATTTGAATTTCGATCCGCTTTCGGGTACAGGGAAAATAGAGGTGGTTTATGGAAATGACAAGTCCGATTAAGAAGAGGTCCTGACGCAAGAGCAGGTTCATCACTCTGCTGCTTCCTGAACGGTAGTAAAAAATGAACTATGGGAAAATAGAAGCAAATAAGACGATCAATAAAAGGAATAAATCCTGAAACAGTTAGAATTTGCAATCAGCACCCACTTATCACACATGGGCAGTCAATATCAGCAGCAAAAAGCACTCGGAAGGAAGACCTGTTTCAGAGGTGTTTATGACGACAGGAGCCGCGACTGCTGTGGAAATCTCAAGGGCACCACTTCTCAACTGTGCCATGCCGAACGAAAAGTACTTTTACACAAAACAAGCAATCGATTATCGATTAGCTGCGCACAGTCGTTACAAAACAGTCAAAAGATGAGCAGTTAATGTGAAGCTCGAGAATGAAATCCAATCGAACCCGTCGCCGATGTCCTCGTAGACGTGAGCGGTCAAGGCCGTCAGTCAAAAGTAAACATAGACGTGACTTGACAGCCGATCAGTGAATGCCGTTGCATCGATTATCATTGGGAATCAATAGGCATCCTTGAGGCTAAGATCAGCGTACCTTAGCACCTACCTCCATTTTTAAGCACTTATTGAACTGTTTATTTCGAAGACGATGTACTGATGGGCTGGTGACGGGATTGTACGCGCTGTTTGAGGGACAAATCTTACCCTGCCTGCCAGCTTCAGTTAAATACACCAGATCAAATTGGTGTGATACAACGGTCGATAATGGAATGTGGATGCCGAACAGACTAAAAATGCAAATAGAAGCAAAGCAAACCGCTGATGAAGCCTTAAACAAGGACTCCCTTGAAATGAAGGAGGGGCGGTTCGGACGAGTTGTCTGAACTTGCTTGCTCCATGGCTCCACTAACCCGCGCGTATTTGAATTAGCCGCTACGTCATAATCCACGTTGCGTGTCATGGGTGTGGGCGAGATCTCATTCATTACTCACGTTTGCTGTTTATAACGCTCTAGGCCAATTGTCGCGCGCTTTCCAGCCGCGACAGCGGCACACTGTGATACTTGTGGCCACTCAATCCTATCCACCAAAAAAATTGCTTCACACGACCTCATCTGGGTTTGTTGCTTCAAAGGCACATCTCAGGAACAGCTAGGTGTAGCACTTCAGTGAGCAAAGCGGGTGTGGTTCACTAGGGCAAAAAGCGACTTTTTCGCTTTTCGCGGCGCGAAGCTTTTCTCATTGTGGGAACCCCAGGTCCACCACCGATCATGACTGGACCTGAGGCTCCCACAATGGCTCGAAAGTACGCTAGAGTCTTGTCAGTTGTGCGTACGCTTCTGGTGCCGCAATGCACCGCCTTACCCGAAAAGCTGTCTGTGTTTCACTGGTCACTGTGCTATTAGCCTCTAACGCCCAATGCCTCTTCATCGTAGCACTGTCCACTTCACGAAAAGGAGCCCATATTTGAGGTATTTTTTGGCAGCCTTTTCTTTTCAGCGGCGGGTCCACTTCGCATCAGCCTTTCATTATCGAGGGCAACATTTGAATACCGCCACCATCAGCTTGATGATCAGACTTCGCGAGTATTCTGCACGACACAGTGATACAAAGCGACTTCAATGGAGCATTATAAACTGAATGTACTGTGGATGACATAGGGGAGTATTTGCTAGCATCCGCTCGATGAGCTGCGATAAGCAACGGAATCACAAAACAATTGTAGGCACTCGTTTCACAATGCTAATATATTTACTTCACAAAAACATGTATTTCATACTTTTATTGTAACTTCTAAACATAAAATTACTCTACACTAGAAAACAAAGCAGCGCCGCCCAATGGAAGAGCTCTCATGGAATATAAACTCTCAGAATATGGTCCTGGCATCTCTCTCTTTACAATCTCCACCATGACATTGCTGCACGTGTATGTGCGTAGCTCATGAATGCTTCGGTGGATCCTGAACGCAATTATTTCTTCTGCTTGTACTGCTCAGCGAATATTCCGAACTAAAGAAACTTTCCGACGCCCACATGGGCGGTATCTCTGTGTATAACGTCTGAAAAGACGGCTTGTCGTAAAATGTTGTGGTCAATTTTTGAAATTTCGTCTTCTAACTGAGCGAGTGACCGTACGTTTCCAGTGTAAAGCAACTAAAAAAATCAAAATATAGGGACCATATACAAAACGACGATGAAGAATGCAAATTAAAAAAAACCACCACCTCCTTAGCATTGTGCTCTGCTTTTTGTGTATTCGTTTCAAGATTTTGGTAGAGTTCAGTTCGAAGCTGATTACGTGCAAGCGTTGTCTCTTCCTCTGAGACGGCCACAGCAAGGTGCTGCAACAAAATAACATGAATGCCAAGTACTATTCCCCGTGCTTGGGAGAACCCTGGACGAAAAAAGGTCGTTTAAGGTCAAGTGCGAAAGTATGAAGTGAACTGGTAAAAAAGGGATGAGTGCCGGTTCGGCAATTATCAGAACAGAGGCAGCGCGATCAGGAATGGATGGGAACCACGACTTCCGCCGAATGTCGAGTGGACGGCGCCTCCCAGTGCCTTTTCCCTTAGCGAAGTTCCACCAATGCCATGCACTTCTATTCCTATTCCCTGCAGTGAAGATCTGAGTTTGAGAGACATCAAGAGGCTTACGGACGGAGAAAAATTACAAGGAATCCACTACTCAAAAAATTCAATTTTCGGCTTGACGTCATGGACATCACATTTATGTTGTTTGCAGAACATTTCTACATTTTGAAGAAAAAAGAATGCCTTAGGATTCAGAGCTGTTCTCGAACTTGTACGAAGTTGCCCACTAAAGAAGCTATGTTTGATGAAATGACGAATGACTACGTAATGAAGGAGAATCACTCGTCGCTACTCACCCTCAAGGGGAGAACCTTAGCGGAGCCGTTTTTGACACACTAGAGATATCAGCAGTCTTAATGACCACTGAAGTGAGCAAGCCCTCCAGGTAGAACGCTATATTAACGTCCTGATTTTATGCAATGAAAGCAAGTTATGGCCTTTGGTGTTTTCAGAGAAATCCCCAACGGGGATATTTTCAACGCACTGAATTCAAGAAGTCAGTACTAACTTTTCTAAATCAACGCATATGAAGGAAGTTATTGTTGTTGAAAGTGCGAAAACGCCAAACGACAACGACACGCCTCTTGAGAATTTTCCTCATTATTCAACCAGAAAGATTGTTTACTCAATATTTTCTACAAAGTTAGGCCGAAATAACAACGATAGCTATACCTTCCACTCATGCTGGACACTTCTCATGATACCCTCTGAGTTAATGAGATCGTCTCCATTACTTACAAAGTACACACCGAACAGACCAGTGTCCCTGGAATAAGCTGGTAAATATCCCAAACTACACCATTAAAATCGTCATAGAACAATGCGCCTCACTTGTAGTTGATGTTGAAGTGTTGAAGAAAATGGAGCCCATGTTCGTGGGAGATCTTTTGAACCCATCGTGAAGGGGCAGTACGAGAGGTAGCGTGAGTGACATCCCATTGACCTGGAAATGAAATGAGTGGATGGGTGACAATTCCGCCTATGAGATTAACTGCACTGAATCTTCAACCACGTGCATCAGAACGGAACATTTCGTTCAGCTAAATAGGATGGTCGTCCAATAAAGGTGCAGCAGATGTTTATTATTACTACTACCTTTTATAAAATAAGTTTGGATGAGTATAATAAACTTATAGAAAGACGATGAGTGGGGAAGACGACGAGAAAACGGCAAAAATTGAGGTTCACTTCCCCTTGGGAAACTAATTTTGATCACACGCATGAGATCACTGATCCATCGCTCACTACAATGGGGCAACCCAAGGAAAATATGTATCCAGTAGTACGAACATGATGAAACTGCACTGCTGTTCTCGCCCACAAACACTCAAAGCATACCACAAACTAGTTTCAATGTCCTATTCATGGATGAAATGATAGTATACATTTTCGACAGTCACAAACGGCTAAATGCTTACCAATAAATTGATTTGCCATCTGAAGAGCGAGAGCATCATGGTGTCCATATATTCCCGCTAGGTTTTCCACGTAGGTCACTAGGTTTTTGGGGTTGCATAGAACTCAGAGTTACTTCTTGCGCGTGTTCAGCCTGTCTACTTTTCTCCTGTATGAATTGCAGTGTAAAATCGAATGGCTATCACCAGAAAAGACACCCGACCGGCAACCGCCGTGTACATATGCTGGGATGCTAGTGCCGTTGGAATATCGTGACAGCGCAGTCCAGCTATAACACAGCTCTGAAGATTCATCGAAATATGGTCTCCGCTTTTCCTTCACAAAAAAAAAAAAGACCTAGGCGTCTGTAGAACCAGTCGGGAGCTTCCTGGCCTTGGGTTCTGATCACGAATACTTTCGGACAACGCACCTTATATGCACATTCGTACAGCGTGGCAGAAACAACCAACCTCCGAACCTGAAAGTACATTCGGATTGGCGGCTAAGGTTGTCCTCCGACTGCCGACTCCTTCAAGTTTGCAGGATGGCCTGAAAGGATGATATACGATCAGGAGCGAGTAAACAGCGTACTCTTTATCACTGTACGATTCCTTGAGGTGATAAAACGTACCATTACAGGTGAGCCACGTGAAGGTCCCCCAGTGGACCTTTGTTGGACCCATGATGGTGCCCTGGGTAAACTATAGAATTGGTCCGACTTCTATGTAAACACCTAACTGCACTGCCTCATTGGTTACTTGGAAGGCCGCAAGATGAAGATTATCCATGGTTACTCCTTGCAGATCGCATTCCTTTTCCTCGAGTTCACGGATCAACACTTCACGTTCTGCCTCTATTGCAGAGGAGTCCAATTTGCTGTTACGAAGGACGTCGGCGAGGATATCCACCACTAAAATTTGCATTCAAGTTTAAGTGGGATATCTCTTTTCTGTATGCTTGTGAGCTTGTTTTTATTCTTCCAACTGTTAACTTCGCTAAATCATTGACGCAGCTATGGTTGCTAAGGTCGTGGGATGAGTAGTGCATAGTGAGTGAATTAAGGATCAAAACCAACAAAACTGAATGAGCTAGGCCAAGCTGTGCACACCCACGTTGGGCTGGAGCGCGCCCCACGCGTGGGTGGAGCGCACCCACAAATGGGCGCTGTCAAGAGCAAAAATTCTGAATTCTGGCATGGAGCAGCACATAGCCCAGAAATTAGGTGAGAAGTGGACTGACAGATGAATAAAGGACACCTACGAAAGGCGAGCCTTGGTTTTTCAAAAAATGGATGACCTTGCAACGCGTACAAGTAGAATCCAATTTGAATTCAGCGTAAAGTAAAAATCAAAATTAAGGGCAGGCAAGCAGACTTGAGGCCCAATATCTAAACTATGCGAACCATGCTAAAGATGAAAAATGCGCGTTCATAACTCCATGGAGTGATGTTTCTCTTCCCGAAATGCAGTAAGATGGAGACTAAAGAATGAAGTGAAGTCAATTGAAATTGTCGCCAGCATTTCACGTCAGACGAACACTGTACAAAGTCACTTAGCGAAGGATTAAAGTGGACCAACATTCAGAGATAGTAGCCACGCGACCCTGCAACGCGTGTGCAAATTAACCTGGAGAAACCCAGGATGTTAAACACTTTATGCTCCCACACTGACTTATGCCACACTGCTCTGTGCGCAGCGAAATGTCACGAAAAAATATTTGAAAAAACCCTTTGAATGCGTTCAGCCACACAATAATCTTACAACCGACTACTATTAGGGAAAAATGTCTGGGATTTTGACATAGCACTTAATCTATTATAAAAAAAGTGAAGTAATCCTTACCTTTCTCGACATCTTGAGAAGAGGACTGCACAAAGACGGCGGTGCGATCTCGCGTAGTGTAAGACTGCATTCTAGCGCCAATCGCCTCCAATTCGCTCTCAAGAGCTTTCGAAGCTCGTTTACCGGTCCCCTGGAGACAGAAAGACTGGTAAAGGTAGCAGCATGAAATCTTGGAGCTTGCGTAAAAGAGCAAGTGAAAATAGGTCAAAGTTCAAAATTAAGGACCTTATGCATGAGCCGCTCCAGAAAATGGGCAACACCGTTGTTTCCTTCATTCTCGTAGCGAGACCCGGTCTCAATCCACACTCCGACCTGAATGCAAAAAAAAATAAACTATCCAACGACAAATGAGTAAGTGGTGTATAAGTATGCTATAGACTTATGAAATTGCACTTTTGGGAGAGTAACAGTTAAAATGGCAAGTCAATTTAGAAGAACCTTCCCATTTAACGGCTGATTTGAATGAGTTTGTTGAGACTTAACAGCATAAATAAATCAAAAGAAATTGGAACAAACAAAGAGCTGGAATAATATCTGCTCAGATAAAAACCCAGAATGCCTTAATAGAACAAGACGAGATAAAGATGAAATTGTAATAGAGGCTAATGCTACAGATGTTTTCAAGAAATCAGAGAGAAAAAAAATAAAGAAAATCTGCATACAGTCGCAGTTTGCTTTCCGTTATCTTCGGCCGCGACACGGAAACCATTTTTCAGCGTGTGTACTTCGCACGACGGCTGATTTGCCAACACATCTTTTATTGACAATGCAGCCACGTTGCGCACCTAAACAAGTGGATGTCGTGAAAACTGACAGAATAGTCCCCTCTCAAATTTTTTCAACTTATGGACTTAAAAGATGACTATCTAGCAAATGCAAACCAAGAAGCGCAGCTATAACAGCCTAGAGGTAACTTTATCAGAATTCAGAACAAATAGTAAGGTCACAACGGCCAATTACACAGTGATCCACTTTGTCGTGTTCGACGGAAATCACTAATCAAAGAACTAAAGCTGAAGTTGAGAAATAAAGAAATCGACTGCTGCGGAACAGAATTGTAAGGATTTATTTGTCAGGATAAATGAAATATTCGATGTTATTTGGTGCACTACCCTATAACATTTATAGGTGAGAATAAGTTGGAAAAAAGCAAACTTTAGAATGCCATTACAAAGACACTTAAAATGTGTAATAAGTGGAGCCATAAAAGTAAGAAAAGGAATAAGAATACCCGACACTGGTTCACGATATGTCATGACCACAAGTTTTCTTAAAAAAAACTATCCTTCTCCAAAGATGAACTTATAGTTAAAGAAGGGATGCATAGTCAAAACGGTGTAAATGTAGGTGAAGTTCAAACAAGCTGGAACAAGATTTCAAAAACTAGTAGACTCACGTCTACCTTCAGTACTAAGCAAATGATGAGAAGTTTAGTGCAGGGTCGAATTCAATAATCCTCCAAGGGGTTAGGGAACGAAAATCCCTTTAAATTTATTCCTTTTTAACGATACAGTATCTTCGTTTTCAGTGCATGTTCACTTCGACTTTCATGCATGCATTAAGTAGGCTCTTTATCAGGACAGACCCAGTTGGGGTCTGGCAGATATCTAAGACGCAACCCTTTTTGTCTCCCCCTCCCCCAAAGCTGGGGAGGATTGAATCACAGGAGGGAGACGCATCCCCTGGGGGAAGGATTGAATACGGCCCAGATCAATAGGAAAGCTGTCGCGAACGGAATACCGTAAGTGATTCTCAGAACACCTCCCTATCGGACGCACAGGAGAAGACGCTGAACTCAGATTTCAAAATATAGAACCGATCAAACCAAAAGAACGAAACACGCTGTTCCCATTTCGGCAGCAGTATTTGATGTGACCTACGCGGAAAAACTACGAAGAAATGACCAGTAATCATAAATACCTGAGTGTTCAAGACTGGCCGAAGGGATGATCCGATGACAAACCTCAACGCCATCGTTGCGTTCTGTTACCAACAAGCCTAGAAATATTTAAGCCTTGTTTCCTCGTACCATAACAATCTTTCCTGACACATGACATTCCAAAATAGCTATTTCATGATGCAGAACTGATATTTTGAACAAAGGCACACAGTTATCACTGAAGACAAAGGACAATCAAGGGAAAGGACCTCCAGACACTTGCCGATCTCGAAATCGCTCAAAATTTGTGCATCGTCGACGAGTTAATCGTGTCAGGACCACCTCAAATCGCTTGCTCGTTTCAAGCGTTGTTTGGAGGTGGCCATTTTCGTTTTTATCACAACCTTCGTTTGAGTTTCTATATGTACTGCACATATACTCTGCACCACTCTAGAGTTAACTTGGAAAGTGGATTCTGTTCTTCTATCATGAAGAGACTCTTCACAGCAATAGTGAAAAAGAAAATTGGAGAACTCGTGGGCCTACAACTCATTTTATGAAGTTGGAGCTGTTTCCTCTTACATTATTTGTTGTTTGCTACTTCTCCCATCCTAGAAAATTAACAATTTCGTAATGGATAGTGCAGAGATGTTGGTTATCGGGTTCCTAGCGCGTAAGTTGATTACATGTATACTATACTACATATGTTTGATCATAACCTTTTCGGTCGGTGCAAACGGAATTCACCTACCAAAGTGATAGCTTGCTTGACTGGAATAGAACTTTCTCTCACTGATGCTCAGCGAAGAACAAATTTCTCCTACCTATTGCTACACTTCCTTCCGGGTCGTGCTGCATGCTGTATGCCAACCTTCCTTCACCCCCCCCCCCCATTTTTGGAGGTAGTATGGGGGAGAGTATTAGGTTTTGGTAGAGGTCTTGTTGGCGTAAGAAATGAATCAAAGTGGACGAATATGCATAGGACTTGCTATTTTAGGAGCTAACTTACATAGATAATTTTGGAGTTTTGGATTTGGGAGCGAATGTGGAGTTGTGGGATCATCTCCAGCAGTTCTCGGCCGGAGGACCCAACTCTGGCCTGGAACTGCTATGCGTCGATTATGAATACGCTTAGTGTCATGGAAATTTTCAAGGCAGTTCTTTCTGTTATGACTGCAACCTAAACAACAATGTTTGCTAAGTCGCCTTTTTTGTGAGAACTGATTGTGGATACGAAGATGATCGAATAACTCATCTGTCTATTCTGCTTTGTACATCACAATCGCTTCATTTTGCGCAGTACTTTCACATTGATGGCGCCACGAGCCGCTCTCAAATAAGTCCTTGTCATTATCATATGTATTCCTACAATGATGCGCGCGCTACGGGGATCAAATCCTGATACATTTACATCCCGGCCAACCAAGCCTTCCATCCCTCCGGGGTCGGTTAATTGGTACCAGACTTGTCTGGGAGGATAAAAACACTGACTTGTACATCGGCTGGCCCCCGCAAGTCATTGTATAGGCCACATCGCATTCAAATGCCACTGCGAATGTACAAATGGAAGTAGAATGCGTGGCCGCACTATGAAGGAGTTGATCAACGCGGAATAATCTATCCTTTTTTAACTGTACCCATCAAGAGCACTTCTAATCTCGTCTTGATAAGTAGCTGTTTTCACGTAGGCTGCGTTCAGACTGCGCCAAAGGCTGATGTCAGAGTCCGCGATCCTTTGCGCGATTTTTTTCGACTGAGATTGTTTCAGTACTTTATGTTACAAATGCTGTAATGGGTTATTCTGCAGCGCCAAACAGTCCATTTATTGCTTTGAATAGAACGTACAGCAGCAGTATAATGTGGGGACACATTGCAGTCATACGAACAATGTGCCTTGGCGCTCTACTGCAAGTCGCGGAGCGGCTGCATGCGTCGCGTCTCAGATTAGAAAGCGGTTTTTTAAAGCGACGTCATTAATGGTCTTTTCTTGATTCGATTTTGCCAATGGTTCTGTTGAAGCAAGTAGTTTCGTAGGGCCTAGAGGATCGCTGTACTGCTTCGGTTTTCCTATGCATCCCGTCAGAAGTTGGCTCCGGTTTTTTGGTCAGTTAAAATAAAAGTGCTGGAAATTTGGTATATGAAAAGCGGATCTTTTTTGAATAAAGTTGAATATCAATCTTTTGAGCGTCTTGGTGACATCTATGCTTGTTTGACTTCAGTGTGATTCCAGCTCTACTGGAAAGTCTTTTCTAGCGGATTGGAATTAGTGTAACCTTTTTTGGATAATTACGTCTAAGGTAGGGTTACCTTCACACCGGAGTTTTTCATTTGCCTTGTGATTCCAATTAAGAAAGGTATTCTTCCTGTGGCTTCTGTGTGATTTCCTTCTAACGCATCTTTAATCCGTATTTTTTATTCTGGAAACGAGACCTTGGCTTCGTTTTTTCTCGCATTCATGGAACAATCTGCTAATTTCAACGTGGAACTTTCAGTATGTCTTCTCGACATCGTATTGACTTGGATGACGACAGAAAAAAGGACCGTAATAGGGACAGGGATAGAGATAGAGACCGAGACAGAGACAGAAAATCTCGGCGGTTGGTTTTCACTTCTTCCGTAGTACTTTTTGAAGCTTAAAACTTCTCGTGTTGGGGCCAGAGAAAAGTTGTTGCAAAGAATTATTTTTCATTAACTTTTAAGTCATCCTTGAAGATATTAGATCCTTAAAAGGGGAGTGAAAAAAGCGAACTCCGAAATATACATGTTTGTTTTTTTTTTCAACTCGATAAGTAGATAGTTTTGGATTCGCTCTTTATCTCTTCCGATTGCTATTGTTCACGTGAGATACCAGAAAAATGTGACTGTAGTGCTGTAGATGGTTTGTTTAGTGCAAACGATTACCCAATGTGCTCGTTTAAGGTCTCGTTCACGCTCCCGGTCACGCTCTCCTTTGAAGCGAGAGACGTCAACCCCTCCAACTATAACGCAGAACAATAACTCGGCAGCGGCCGAGACCAAGGTAGGTTTATGAGTTTTGAGGTTTGAAGTAGGTAGCTGTACTAATTGATTCCATATAACGGTAACTTTTTCAGGCTAAAATTAATCCCTTCACCCGGATGCCGTATAGTAAGAAATATTGGCAAATATGGGAAAAGCGTAAGAATCTACCTGTTTGGGAATACAAGGAAAAATTCATGGAAGTTCTACACAACAATCAATGTAAGTTCGAAAAGATCGCAATTATCTAAACTAAACAATTCTACAACTTCAACAGCAGTAGTGGGTATTTGAGATGCGCTTTTCTTCCTTTCTGTCGTATTTGCTACAGCTGCTTGCATTTCTCTTGATAATATTTTCTTCTTCACTTGTAACGCTTGGCATTGCTCGTTTTGGAAATGTAATGGTGTTGTCGCACGTGGCGCCACTTACCATGCGCGCGATCTGGTGATCAAATCCAGTACGCATGTAGTCCAGGCCACCCGTTGGGGTCGACAAATTCGGACCAGGGATGCCTAGGAGGGTTAAAACTCTGACTTGCAAGTCGGCTGGCCTCCACAAATCATTCTGTATGCAAAGTCTCCCGTTTAAATGACACTATAATTTTGTATGGAGGTAAAAATAACAGTTTCCGAAAGTTTTCTATCACTTCTGCAAGCCTAGTCTACTAGCTTTCACACACTCACTGCCATAACTCAAATCATTGGTGTTTTGGCAGGTGCCACCCTGATTTTTTGTAGGTATGACTCTTGTCGGAGAGACGGGTTCTGGAAAAACAACGCAAATACCGCAGTGGTGCGTGGAATATGTCCGTCAGAGGGCGATTCCCGGCCAGCGAAGGCTCGTGGCATGTACTCAGCCAAGGAGAGTCGCAGCAATGTCGGTCGCTGCTCGTGTTGCAGATGAAATGGATGTTCAGGTGGGCTTGATGTTTCTATCATTGTTTGAAGTTCGACGTAATTTTGAACTGTCTGGCAAGTTGGGTGGCTTATTTTTTTTCTTTCACCGAAAGGTTCTCTTGTTATCTCTTAGTTTTTTTCAAGTTGGGACAGGAAGTCGGATATTCTATTCGTTTCGAAGACTGCGTCAGTGCACAAACTATACTGAAATATTGTACCGATGGTATGTTTTTTGGCCTGTTTAAGTATGTTGAGAAAAGAATTTATCAAACTAAAGGAGAAATTTCTCTTTCATTTTGACTGAATGTCTAAATAATCTCGCATAATAATGCTTTGTTCGATGTACTGTCAATTTTCCGTACCTTCAATTTTGTGCGTTTCCACAAACGTTTTCGATTGTTCAGCTTAAAGTAGTAATAGTACATAGTAGTTGCTTCATCTCTTGTTAATGTCGCTTATCAAAATTCAGTAACGGTTGGGCTTGCACAGTCTTGCGGCAGTATCCAATCTTCTCTGCCAGTTTTTGTGTCCACCCTTACATCCGTAGCCCTTAGAATGCGTTCACCACTGTCTACAGTTTTCGTTCACTTTCTCTGAGCTCTCAGAAGATTAAGTCTGTGATTCTCTCGTTCTCTTATGGGAGACAGAAATTGAATGAGTAAATGCGTTGTTTCGCTAGGGCGGTAATATTTTCTTTTCTGTTCGGGATGAACAGTGCTTTTGTTCTTTCATAAAAAAGCGATTCATATAGAGCGGTCGTTTTTTTTTCGTTATTCAGCCAGCTATTGAAAATTCGCTAGTATTAAACACATATCTGGCGCATTTGGCTCCAAAAGTGTACTTCACTATCCCCTTGGGACTAATGAAGTACTCTCTATCCCTGCACGAGAAGACGCGTCCCTCACCTCCTCCGCAGCTTAGGGTTGCATCATGCATTCGCCTTACTTCTGTCAGCCTCAGTAGTCTGAGCATTCTATTCTATGAGACCTTCCTTATGCTTGACCTTTGAAAGGGTGGAGGCGCGTTTGTAGAAGTTCAACTCAGGAACGGAGGTAGGGGATGGGTCCCTGTCGAGCAATGGTGGGATACGGCTTTGGTTCTGATTTTGATTACATTTTTTTCAGAATCAATCTTTAAACTTTAATTTTGACTGGGCGGCTGAAAAACATGAACGCTTCCATAAACCTTGAAATCGAACATATTCTTTACTGATTTTAATTTTTAAGGTATGTTATTACGTGAGGCGATGAATTGCCCATTACTGGATGGATATGGTGTTATAATACTCGACGAAGCTCACGAAAGAACATTAGCAACTGATATACTTATGGGGTTGATAAAGGTAAGAGAGGAAAGTGATCGCTCTCCATTTGATAAAAGAAGGTCCTGCGCGAGAGTTCCCACAGAGCGCCGACTGATTACGTTTGTTTGGAATTCTGTTGCATGAAAATTTCAGTAAAAAAGTAGTCAAAAGAATATTCAGTTGTACTGGCAGATTTCAGTTGTTAAGTTGACATGTTACCTGTTTTCTACAGTTCCAATTTCGTGATCTTGAAGTTTACTGGTTGTAATAGCCCATATTCTAGGAAATCGTTAAACAAAGAGCTGACATCAAAATCGTTATCATGTCCGCCACGCTTGATGCAGGAAAGTTCCAGAGTTACTTTGAAAACTGTCCACTGATGGCAGTCCCAGGGCGAACATTCCCTGTGGAGATTTTCGTGCGTCATTACTTTTGGTGCTCAAGTGCAGTAGTGCAATATGTAAATAGTTGCCTCTAAATGTGGTTTTCAGTTCACTCCGGAACCAGAAAAGGATTATCTCGAAGCTGCAATTAGAACTGTAATACAGATCCATGTGTGCGAAGAAGTTGAAGGAGATATTCTATTGTTCCTGACCGGTCAGGAGGTGCGTAATTGTTTAGCATAAGTATTTATGTGTTGGCCTCGTTTTGTATCCCATGAAATACCCATTTTTATGCATTGTTCTCATTTTTTACCCGTGCAACTTCAACTTTGTTTAGGAGATTGAAGAAGCATGTAAACGGATTAAGCGGGAGATTGATAATCTTGGTCCATCAGTTGGTGCATTGAACTGCATTCCGCTATATTCATCACTTCCTCCCAATCAGCAGCAACGGATTTTTGAGGCGCCGCCTCCAAGTAGACCGGGAGCTATAGGTATCTCTTCGTTTTTTTGAGTTATAATGATTTTGTTATACATCTATTTGTACCTCTTTTCCGCACTTTTACCTACTTGCTGTTCTCTATTGTTGCTTTTTACTTCCTTTTTTATCGCAGAGGCGTTATTATCGTGATACCTTGTGCTTCAGGTCGTAAATGCGTTGTTTCTACAAACATTGCCGAAACTTCGCTGACCATTGACGGCGTTGTGTTTGTGATTGATCCAGGATTTTCGAAACAGAAAGTTTACAATCCTCGTATCCGAGTCGAATCCCTTTTGGTTTGTCCGATTTCCAAGGCAAGCGCTATGCAACGTGCTGGTCGTGCCGGTCGTACGAAACCTGGTTGGTTGAGATATACTGTAATACTTATATGAGTTTAAGTGGCAGTCTCAAGCGGCACATTCTCAAATGATCATTTTTAGGTAAATGTTTCCGCTTGTACACAGAAAAGGCATATCAGGATGAAATGCAGGAACAGACATATCCGGAGATTTTGCGGTAAGTCGAAGACGCTGTGGAAGTCGGTGTAATCAATTGGGGAGCATAAATTTCTGTAAATAATTCCATGAATTCCAGGTCTAAATTTGGGTTCAGTGGTGCTACAGCTAAAGAAACTCGGTATAGAAGATCTCGTTCATTTTGACTTCATGGATCCTCCAGCGCCTGAGACATTAATGAGAGCCCTGGAATTGTTGAACTACCTGGCAGCTATCAATGATGATGGTGAACTAACTGAACTCGGATCGTTAATGGCAGAATTTCCTCTGGACCCACAACTAGGTAGCTTTTCGCTTTTGTTAGAGTTCATCTCTACATCATTCTGTTTGTAAGCTCTTTCTTTGGAAAGTAAGAGTCTTATGGAAATTTCCAGGATTTTTTACATATCTTTTATTAGCGAAAACTCTACTGTTACACTATCACCTCACCTAACTATTCGTAATAAATGCTTATCACAATGGTTTCAATCCAATTTCACCCTTTTTTGATTGGGACATTACAAATGAACCTCTTTCTTTTGCAGCTAAAATGTTAATCACCTCAACGGAGCTGAATTGTTCGAATGAGATTTTGTCAATTACGGCTATGTTGTCAGGTAAATTCATTTTTCACTTTGTGAGATCATTATCCGTAAGTGTAATAAAGAATGCCGTTGTTTACAGGATATGACGGTTGAACTTTATATTAAAAAGTGTTTACTTTTTTGGTTACACTTTTAGTTGTTGATGTTTTTTGAAAAAACACCTAATTCTTTTAGTTCCGCAGTGCTTTGTGCGACCGAACGAAATGAAAAAGGAAGCTGATGAGGCGAAAGCACGATTTGCTCATGTTGATGGGGATCATCTGACTTTGTTGAATGTCTATCATGCTTTCAAACAGAGTTAGTCATTTTTGTACTTTATATAAAATCACATTTTTTTCTTTTCTGACCATCAGTGAACAAGTTTTGGGGTTTTCTGCCGAACTTTTCCTCGTTTTGTCGATCAGTTACTTGATAAGGCAGGCAGTGAATAATGCAAGTTCATTCAGATAATGAGGATGTACAGTGGTGCTACGACAACTTTATCAATTACCGTACAATGAAAACTGCTGATACAGTGCGGACGCAACTTGGGAAGACTATGGATAGGGTAGGAATCGTTGTTTCTTCTTTTATTCATATCTTCCATTTGACGACATGAATTTGTCAACTTCTTTGGTAGCCCTTTACACGCCAGAAATCAAGTGACGGATATATGGTTCTTTTTCCAGTTCAATCTTCGGCGAGTTTCAACAGATTTCAAGTCAAAAGACTACTATATCAATATTCGAAAAGCTTTAGTTGCTGGATTCTTCATGCAGGTTGGTATCAGTTAGTTTTTTTTTTTTGCGAGTACACTGGAGAAATTTCTACTTTTGAGGTTGCTCACCTGCAACGAAGTGGCCACTATGTGACTGTGAAGGATAATCAGTTGGTCAATCTTCATCCTTCCACTGTGCTTGATCACAAGCCAGAATGGGCTCTTTACAATGAATTTGTGCTGACGACAAAGAATTTTATTCGAACAGTGACGGATGTGCGACCCGAGTGGTAAGTTCATCAGGTTTTATCATTCTTTTAAGCAAAAAGAAGGGTCACGACGCAGTTGGAGCTGGTTGGTCGACGAGCTTCGGCTGAGCTTGGTAAAAGTGGAGAATGGGTGTGGGATGTTAGGACAAAACGCGACGTCGTCACTGTCGCTCGCTTTTCGCGCGCGAGCTTCGGACCACTAAGTAGAGCTCGTGCTCCCTCAGCGAAAGCTATGAGCCAGCAGAAAAAATCCGCGGCTGGGGCAGGATATTGATTAGGAGAATAGAAAATCAGGAGTTCATAGCCAGACCAGTCCAATCGTGGGGAGGAGTGCGAGTCAGAACTGTTTTGAAAATCGTGGCTTGCCTTGAAAGACTTCACTTGTTAGTAAAAACGTGGCTGAACAGTGGTTTAGGATTTCTCAGATTTGCAAAAGAGCTGCTTTCGTGGCGGCTTTTATCCATGGTTGAACTACAAGTGTTTTCGCTGCGAGAACATGAAGCTGGACTCGATTGTCCAAATCCTCCGCTCGGAATTGTAGTAACTATGCGGCGACGCCTTGCTTGTTCTAATGACCCACACCTATGAAGAGTATCGTGTTGTTGAGGAACTACTCCAACTACACACATATCTTTCAGGCTGCTGACAATCGCTCCTCAATATTTCGACCTTTCAAACTTCCCAGATGGTGACACAAAGCGAAAGCTGCTCTACGTTGCTAATTCATTGCGTGCTCTACAAAACAGTAAAGGAATCTGAATGTAAACGGCTATTTTTAAAAACAATTTTCTTGTTGTATCTGTCCACTGTGGTGAATCTCAGCCCTTTTGAGGCTTAATCTAATTTTATAAGAAGAAAACATTGCGGCTTGTCGGTGGGGTTTCGGGGAAATGTGAGATTTTTAGGGCAGTGTAGGTTGTGAAATGTTGAAATCAATAGAATCCGTCACCACAGTCTTTGGATGTAATCTTGAGACGTAGAGCTTCATTACGTATTTATAGATTTGTACCAATTTATTAATTTAGCTACCGCACCGTTTTTCTCCCTGTGGCATTGTTTTGTGTTTTTGTCTGATATTGATCTTGTTGTTGCATCAAATTCTTTTAATTTGTAAATTTTGCCGTCCTTTATCAAGGAAGTTGTTAGTTAGTATCTATTTTGATGGTTTGTTACATCCTCGTTAAGAAATGAGCACTTTCTTCTTCCATGGTGATGAATTTCACCGCTGTGTTTAGCGTTGTTATCTGGGTGCGTTGGAATGAAAATGAGACGACTATCCAGATTAAGGGTTGCCATTTTAAATGCCACAAAAATGACGCATCGTTCACGAAAGCTCGAGGCTGGGTCATGCGAGACGTCGAGACAAGTACAAACTTTCGCAAGATCAACCGTCCGTTGGACCGAGTCCAACGTAGGGGTCGTATTTGGCCGACGGGAGAGGACGGGGTCCTATTCGTAGAAGTTGATGTGACAATGCATGGAATGACGAAATGTAACAAGTGCAAATATAGTCGCGGCTAGACACTAGTTCAGGCGAGCATTAAACGATTAAAATGAGGGCGCCTTTGCTGTCCGCGTACGTCGTGAGCTGAATGTGACTTTCGGTGCTTCTGCCAACTAGGCAAATTACAGAACGCGACGTGCATGGCGCCTCTCGAAGGGAATGAGGGCTAGAGCAGAATTTATGTGTCCATTTTGACTTGTTGCACGTACGCAGGCTATTACTGCTACAGCCGAAATCCAATGTCTTCTAAAAAAAATGGGGCAGCATTAAAGCTCTATTCGCGAGCCCCAAAATCTCAAAATTTTATTTTTCTTACGAAATTCGGCCTATAGTGGTAATTTCGGTGGGGGCGCCTGAGCACGCTGAAAATGAGGTTCATTTGCGCATAGGCGGCTATTTGGCGGGGGCGCCAATTGGCGCCAATTTGGCGCCAAGGGTGTTTTCACCAAATTCGCTGTAAACTTGCACATAGGGGTTATTTGAGGTCCTGATCACGAATATAACATTCATTTTTCCCTCCAGCGCCTGTGCGCGCCTGTTTTCCGCTCGTCTGCGCCCTCTCACTGATCACCTCGCGATCGGGACTAAGCCTTTGAGGAGGAGAGTGCTCCGAAGTGAATAACACTTATCCTGTGATCTTATACGCTTTAACGTTTGCCACATGTTGACTGGTTCACCCACCCCGGAGTCCTCCCTCCTTCTAGGCTCAGTCCTAGGTATTATGTACAAGTGAGAGGACCCAGGAGAATGGAAAATGTGCGTTGAACGGTGGAAATGCTAAAACGAAGGCACTATTGAGCTATTACAACCCCAGAGGGGGTGAGATGGATCAAAAAATTTTTTTCGCTGAAACTTGCGCTAGGGGGGTTATCGAGGCTCCTGATCACGAATATGACCTTAGTTTTGGCTCAATTTCTCTAGGTGACGCTCGAAATAGATGTCATCTAGGCGCTCATCCAGTAAGGGGGGGGGGGGGGCATGCCCTCATGATTTTGATGTCGCCCGGCTTGACTTTGGATGAGGTCGGCCTAGATGACATCTATTTCGAGCGTCACCTAGAGAAATTGAGCCAAAAGCTAAGGTCATATTCGTGATCAGGAGAGCCTCGATAACCCCTATCCACAAGTTTACAGCGAATTTGGTGAGAACACCCTTGGCGCCAATTTGGCGCCAGCGCCAAAAACTGAAGGTCATATTCGTGATCAGGAGCCTCGATAACCCTATCTACAAGTTTACAGCGAATTTGGTGAGAACACCCTTGGCGCCAATTGGCGTCCAAATGGGCGCCAATTTGGGGCGCCAGCGCGCCAAAACTAAGGTCATATTCGTGATCAGGAGCCTCGATAACCCCTATCCACAAGTTTACAGCGAATTTGGTGAGAACACCCTTGGCGCCAATTGGCGCCAAATGGCGCCAATTTGGCGCCAGCGCCAAAAACTAAGGTCATATTCGTGATCAGGAGCCTCGATAACCCCCTATCCACAAGTTTACACAGCCGAATCCTTGGTGACAAACACGCCTTGGCGCCAAGCTTGGGCGCGCAGCTGGCCAAAACTGAGTCATATTAGTGATCAGGACCTCGATCACGCCCCATCTCCACAAGTTAGCAGGCGAATTTTGGTAGAAGGCACGCCTTGGCGGGGCCCACCTTGGCATGAAATGGCGCCAATGATTGGGGGGGGCCAGGAGCCCAAAAACTGAGGTCATGATTGCGCTGACTCAGGAGGGCGCTCGATACCCCGCCGCGGCGAAGTTTGCACGCAGACAAAAATTTTTTTTATCGCATCTCACAGCCCTCTGGGTTGTAATAGGGCTCAATAGTGCGGGCAAAAATGGACCTAACAGTAAAAGAGTGACCACGTTGGGTAAGATCGACGCGCTTAAGATGCTACAAGAAGTTTGAAAATGAAATTAGCCTGTCGGCGATTTCCTGAAAAGGGTTTAGTATCTGTTATGAAGCACAAAGCTTGTGCGACGTCACGGTATCATGATTTCCCCATAAAATTGAGTTTGAAAAGAGCTGTGAGTGTTTGAGTGTTGAAAACTCGTGTTTTCAAGGGAGTAGCCCGAAAATCCATGAAAAGAAGAATTGTTAAATACTAGCCGGCGATAATATATAGTGTTTGATTGTGAGCTCAGTGAAACCAGTCACTCAGCGCAACTCCGGCCCACTGTTTCCGTTCGAGCAATCAGGGTCGGGAGTGGCTACTTTCTTAAAGCAACAGTTCAGGAACGGTTTCGCGGGAAAAAACCACCAATAATGAAGTTGTAGATGAAAACCAGACGATTAATGTATGAAAAACTGGAAAAAAACGTCGGGGAGGGTCTTAGACAGGTACTCTCCCTCTGCCGCTCAGCAATGGATAAAGACGCACGTTGGACGAGTTGTCTGAACGTGCCCGCTGTAAACGCGCTCCATTTTTCAATCAATTTTCCCTGTGGTCCCAAAACGAGCACGATTGCCGACGCGTCCAATGACGGCCGGCAAGGGGGCGGGATTGGGGAAATCCCCAAGAACACCCATGTTTGAGGGACTTTCCACCCTGTTTTTGAGTTTCTGAGGTAAGTTCGTTTATTATTTCCACTGCATATGTTCTTCACTAGGGCTCGTGTATCCCTCAGTAGTAGTGGCATTGAAATTTTCGGACCCTCCCTGAACTGTTGCTTTAAGATGTTGGGTTAGTTTTACCACGAAGTTATGGTGGTCTTATTGTCTAACTCGTCGAAAAATACATCAAGTACAAACCCTTTGCACACTTCCATCAGCACTTTTGCCATAGTCCAAGGAGTTCCTACGGGCGAACCACAGTGGCCATACTCCTATGGTTTCAGGATCATTTCTCTGTGTATTGATTCCGATGCTAACTGACTGAAGCTCTAGCTAGTCAACCTTGCTGAACCCCAAAATGCGACCCCTTCCCAAAATCGCAAATGCGACTCTGTCGTTCGAATAGTGCGAAGAACGGTTGACCTCACTACCTTGCTTCATGGTAGGTTGTCTAGAAATGGAATTAATTATGATTTCGAAATCAAGGCAGCTGCATGGCTTATTCCAGATGACGCTTCGAATCCGAACGAACAACCGGGCGTTTCAACTGAAACTACAGTGACTAACCCTCAAACAGCTGTTTCTGTTGGAGTCCCAAAAACATCCTCGTCAGGTTTTTGATAGGTCCTCAGTCGGGCAGCATGTACCCATGCATTATCGGATGCTGCGAGCATTTCGCCCTTGTTAAACTCTGGTCATTTTATCAGCTGTTCTCTGATCCCGACAACACGGCTACAACTGACAGCCGTGAGATTTCGCGCCCCTGTCAGGTTGATCTGCTTCGATCACGTCTCATCATCATCGGCGGAGTCGGGTGGTAGCCGAGGAGAGCAGGGTGCGGCATCTTGCATGTCATGCGACGACACTGATCGGTTCGCTTTGATCTTGCCGACACCGGTCTTTGACGATGCCGCCGCTCTGATCGGCGTCTCATCACCGGCCATACTCTCTCCACGGTTTCACGCTTGTCGAAGTTGCAGGTGGGCAGCGCAGGGAGTGTGTTAGGGTGTGAGTGCGGGTGGGTGGATAGTGTAGATGTTTTGCGTGTCATAACTCTTCCCGTTCGGCTCCTAGTGTTTTTCATCAATTCAAGGTTACAGCCATCATTACCTCTGGTTGAATCGTTAACAACCCGCCTCATAAAATTCGTCCGATTTCACTCCAGTGATTCTCTTTTGCTGTTTCGCTCCCCCGTTCCCATTACTTCAGAGTTTACTCAACAAGCACTATTGATTCAACTGCTTAGTATCCTGTACTGTATCTATGTGTATTCACGAGACGAAAAGAAGTCATTTGAACACGCTCGCTCGATTTTTGCTTCTGCCAAAGCTCTCAATAATTTCTAAGACTTGCTGGAGCCTTCATGATGTCTTCAGGCACTACGAATTTGTTTTTTTTGCGTACGTTTTGAATTTCGGGTGCCCTTCAAGGCGGTGATTACGTACTGGAGGGTTTCCGATATGTTCCGTCAATTGGTAAAAGAGCGTTTAAGCAACGTCTCCAACCAATATCCCCAAAACGCCTATGTCCAGAACCGACGTTAAAAAATGGTTCCCAAGTTCCGCCTTCAGTGTTCTTAAATACTTGAAAGTACAGTCACACAACCCTGTGAATCGTTTAGCAACGATCGTTCTTTAGTACGGTTCTGGGTTCTACTCCTAAGTATGCGTGAGGGGGGTCAACACAAATGCATATTTTTCTCCAGA